TCTGTTAAATTTGGCAAGCTACGCGAGATTTTGTTACGCGTATATAGAGGGCAAGTTTTTTCTTCCCATACTGTATAAGATCACGTCGCGCAGCACATCTGCTTCTCTCTAACGAAAAAAAAATGACAACCCGCGAGGCATTGGCATCTGCAGAGAAACAGTTGGAGGCAGCGAATAAGCAACTTAACGAGGCTAAGGATGAGAGTAGAGTGGCGTTCTGGATGCAGAAGGTGGAGGAGTGGACAATACAAGTGAAGACGCTCCAAAACAAGCTGGCAGACACCCAGCCAGGTAACGACTTTGTAATGCGGGCATTGGGGACATAGAGTAGTGTGTACATAGGGTAGTGTGGTAAGGGAGTGGGAAGGCAAAGCGCTGGAGGGCGGGAAGTTAGAGGCGGACATAGAGTAGTGTGTACATAGTAAGCAACGTTGGGGATGTAGAGTAGTGTGTACTTAGGGTAGCAGGATGTTATAATTCACTGGATATGGCTATAGCTAGAGTTGAACTGGCTAGCTTTTCTTTCTGCATTCTATATTATGTGCTCGTTCTTTATGGCGCGATTTTTTTTCTTATCAATTTGATGATTCGACAGAAGAAGAACGACCATCTAAGCGGGTTCGCAGTGACGTTGATATTGATCCTCTCATGACTGCAGTGGTACCAGCTCCTTCATCGTTTTCTGATCCAAAAGTCTGGAAGGGGCATCAGTCAGAATCTCCACTTCTTCTTAATCATCGCCCGTCGACTGCAAACGGAGTTCCAATCATGTTATCTCACCCAATCTTTTCAAAATTCCAAGAACTCTACAATAACTGTGAAGTCAATCAAGAGGAATGTGATTTTGTATTGAATCTTACTTCGGTGATGTCAGATCCATTCAAAGATGAGGATAACAGAAGAGATAAGTTCGTTGAGATTGTGGAGCAGTACTTTCTTCGCACCTGTGATCGAACTTTCTTTGGCAAGACGCATACAGATGAATGCATTACGATGCGCAAGGGCCTTTTACGGATTCCGCTGGCAATACTAGAAGTTAAACCCGAATTGGGTATTGGTAGTGGTTGCCCATATGTGCAAGCTACTGCATATTACGGCCGGTATATTGTTGGTGGATTATCTGAAGCACATAAAAACGATCATGAGCAGCTGCGGTACAGCAGTTGTTGTCCTGCGTTTCTCATTTATCTAACAGGTCCCTATGTTGGAATTGCTGGTGCTGTGTACTCTGGACGAGCTTCATTTGACCCTCTCTCCCCAGTAATACCACTTCTCTTCCTTAATCATTATCCTGAGTCAATGTTGTTGGCAGCAAGAGTATTCCGTGCTCTGAAAATTTGCCTTTCAGAATTGGAGACTTATTATGAAAATCTTAAATTTATTTCAAAAAATGATAATATTCCCCAACAAGCTGCTTTTCCCTACATTCAAGAATTTGATTTTAATGGTGAGTAGTTTTTGTATTTTAAATCTTTTCATGGTCTTTTGCTAACAATATCTTACAATTTTAGATGTCACAATCCATTTCAGCTACTTGAAACGAATTGCTAATAAGCTTACATATGTTGTTGAAGTTTCTAATGAATATGAATCAGTAACAAAAGGAAAACTGCTGGTAAAATTCACACGTCAATATGGGTTAGAGACACACCAGTATTGTTCCAATAATGGTATAGCACCAAAGTTATTTGGTTGTCAGAATATTCCTGGGGGGTGGAAAATGGTGATTATGGAATATCTTGATGGCTATTCCAGACTCTGTGATTTAGACAGACAGATGAAAGAAGAGGTGCAAATGTCTGTAATGGAGGCTGTGCAGGTTATGCATTCTGAAAATTATGTTCATGGTGATTTGAAAAGTGTTAATATAATAATATCTGAGGGAAATGTGAAACTCTTAGACTTTGACTGGAGTGGAAAAGAAGGAATGATTACATATCCTCATTTCATAAATCGTATCAGTATAAAATCGTGGCATAGTGAAGTGTGTGCTGGAGCTTTAATAAGAAAGACACATGATTTGCACTCATTAGATCACATTTTTAAAAATGAATAAAGTTTGACTTTTTATAGGATTGCATGACAAATGGTAATGATTTAACTTAGTTGTCCAATTAAACATTATATATAGGAGTACCTGTATGTGGAAAATTATAATTATAACGGTTCCAACGAATACGAAAAAGCATTGCGTTTCTTGGAGATAGGCTGCAAATGTGGTTGTTCAAAAATAATTCCGAGAGAAAAGTTTGCCGAATTCCGTGAAGCATTTCAAGCTCTCTCCAGATCTGAACAAGATATATTTGTAATGGCTCAACTAAAAGCAATGAATGGCGGAGAAATAACCGCTAGTCGACGTCT